GATAAAATAGTTTAATATATAGTTTAATATACAGAAGTCACACGACTATTAATGTAAAAACCTATACAAAACTAGAGAGAGAGAGAGGTTTCGTAGGTAATTCCATTGTAATTTATTGAAAAGTGTCTGAGTTAATCTGATTGTAATCTAACCGAGGATGTCGGATGTAATCCCTTTGTAATTCATCGAGAAGTTTCGGATGTAATCCGGTTGTAATTTGTTGGGAAGTTTCGGATGTAATCCGGTTGTAATTTATCGGGAGATTTCGGACGTAATTCGGTTGTAATTTATCGGGAGATTTCGGACGTAATCCGGTTGTAATTTATCGGGGAGTTTTAGGATGTAATTTCGTTGAATAGATTAGTTTACATATCTTACAAGTTTGGTTGATATGTTTGAGGTTGACAGTCAGCTGCTGTGACTTTAATACTGTAGTGATCGCAAATGTTATGTAATCAATCAAGTCAATAAATCATATTTTTAACCTTACTTACTATATGTCAAAGTCACTTTATAAACTTACATTTAACTGTTATTATAATATAAATGTACGTGATATTAACAATATGTGCCAAACATCCTTTTATCACAAAAACATCATATCAAACCCGTGTTAACAACTGTTAACATTAATGTAAAAACATTATACTCAATTTTTTCTAATTGTATTTTACTGTATTAACTATGTCATTAGATTTACAGAACATCCACGCTAGTTAACACTTACTCCACGCTAGTTAACACTTACTATATAAAGTTTCTAAAATGAAAGGATTAATATAGTAACAGAGCTCATCAAAACGGGGAAAATATAACAAGTTATACCGTGTTTTTTTTTTAAAATAAAAACAATACAATTTTATTAGAATACCACGTAGCAGAAATGAAGTTCAGTAACTGAAACTATCTGTTGAAACAATAAAATTGTTTCCTAAGTTGATACCAGAAGACTGAATTAAACGTGATTTGAAAAGAAACTGATCTGTCCATGTATCGGATATCTTTAGTCTGTCTCGTAAACATAGGTTTTACAATAAACGACACAAGACAAGTAGTTTGGAAGGAAATTGATCACAAAATCTAATTTTATTTACGTACACCACGCTCGCTACAACACTAGTAGGAGATTTCCTGCTTCCTTCATCGTGTTTAAATAAATATCTTTCCTGAAGAAGAACAGATAACTAAATATTATTTACGTACCTCATAACGTTGAATTTGTTTTTTATAAGCTAACTGATAATTCATGAAATATGAGAATTAATTTAAATATACACAAATATTTACACATATTCTCTTCAACTTAAGCCTATTCACGATTACTCAAACCTCTAGCATTCCAACCAATACCCTCACTCGTAAATAAGAGTATGTATTTTTGGTCATTATTAGGTTTAGAGATCTATTGACTGTACTGGCCACCTGTCGACAAGATAGTCAACCAAGAATATTTTTAAACATTAAATAAATTATAAATGGGATGTTAATTAAATTGATCAGTTAAATAAGTTTCGTAAGCAGCTAACACATTCGTTATTTCTTCGTAGCACAAAATACCTCGTTTTCTATATATTTCCTCGTATTATAACAAGGACATAAGAAATACATCTTTCGTAGTATTTTAAGCTCATTAGCAGCCACGTTGCTAATATATTTCTATAGGTATATACAGACTAAATGAAGTTCATGACAAACACATGTATCGACAAAATATCGGATATGATATATACTTTGGCACTTTCTGTCTCTGCACAGGATAACCTAATAAATGAAGTTAAGATAAACAGAAATATTTACAAACCTTAACCCTGAAAATTCAACATTCGCACTCATATGACAGTTTTCTCCAGAAACCTCTAGAAACCCAAGTAACAGGTGATTCTCTGATGTCATCTGGTATTGTGAAACATCTAAACACATTAACTTAAGTCAATAGTCCAACAGAAACTGCGCTTTCATTCTCTGATGTCATCTGGTATTGTGAAACATCTAAACACATTAACTTAAGTCAATACTCCAACAGAAACTGCGCTTCCATTCTCTGATGTCATCTGGTATTGTGAAACATCTAAACACATTAACTTAAGTCAGTACTCCAACAGAAACTGCGCTTCCAAAAGATTCCGTCACTGACACTCGAGGGCAATATAAGCGTTTTGTAGCAGAACACAATAAGTGAATACATAAAACACAGATCGATTCAAAACTTGAAATAGCTGTTGATTTCCAGCCGGTTTTAACTCCTCCTCCTGAAAAGGTTTTCGAGTACAAATAACAATTGTAAACAAAAGTTAACTCAACCAGTGATTTATTTACAGTACATTAATATCAGCTACTTCTAGAAGTTGGTAGAACTTTGAATATCGACAAGCCTATCAGGTACCTCTAGAAGTTAGTAGAACTTGGAATACTGACAAGCCTATCAGGTACCTCTAGAAGTTAGTGGAACTTGGAATACCGATAAGCCTATCAGTACCTCTAGAAGTTGGTAGAACTTGGAATACTGACAAGCCTATCAGGTACCTCTAGAAGTTAGTGGAACTTGGAATACCGACAAGCCTATCAGTTACTTCTAGAAGTTAGTAGAACTTGGAATACCGATAAACCTATCAGTTACTTCTAGAAGTTAGTAGAACTTGGAATACCGACAAGCCTATCAGGTACCTCTAGAAGTTAGTGGAACTTGGAATATCGACAAGCCTATCAGGTACCTCTAGAAGTTAGTAGAACTTGGAATACCGATAAACCTATCAGTTACTTCTAGAAGTTGGTGGAACTTGGAATATCGACAAGCCTATCAGCTATCTCTAGAAGTTGGTGGAACTTGGAATATCGACAAGCCTATCAGCTATCTCTAGAAGTTGGTGGAACTTGGAATATCGACAAGCCTATCAGCTATCTCTAGAAGTTGGTGGAACTTGGAATATCGACAAGCCTATCAGTTACCTCTAGAAGTTGGTGGAACTTGGAATCCCGAAAAATCATGCTCCTTTTCGTGTTGTACATTTAATTGAGTCTTTACGTAAGGATGAACTCCAGTTCTTAAATAACCCATCATAAACTGCTGGGCTATACAAGATTTGACTAAGATAACACAAAAAATAAATTACCGTATTTTGTGTCGATGGTCACATTTTATTAAACAGTATTACTTACTTTAGTAATATTTCAAATAAATTCTTCTTTTGTGTCTTCTCATACTTTCAATAAACACTTTGTCAGATCTTTATATAATTAATTATTTAAGGGGTTATTAATAAAGATTTTGGTTAATGAGGGTTATTTTTACACAAAAGAGCACATACATACATATATATATATATTTTTAGGTGATATAGAAGAAACAACATTTGGGGCTAGTAAGTGTAGACAAGAAAGACTTAACTTTTACATTAATCTCTTTCTCTCGCCGCGCCCCCTAACTGTGTAAAAATAAATAAAATAAAGAGGTCGTTGCTGAGAATTTCGAGTCAAATTTTTTTCTAATAGTAAATGATTTATGGAAAAACTGCATTTTCTGTGTGAGAACTGTTGAAGCCTAAAAGTAACCATGAATTACGAAAATGATGTTTTAGAATGACCGAAATTTAACTTTATCGCTATATGTCGGTATATATAATATATTTATATGTCTGTATATATATATATATATGGATATAATACGTGTACATATAGATAACTGTTCATAAAAATCCCAGAAAAGCTAAAATAAAAAAAGACGATTGATTTATTTCTAAGATGCTTTAACTAGGGAAAATATCTTAAAGAAAAGGAACGTTGTAACTTTCCAGTTCTCCGTGGAGGCTTAGTTGGTGACCAGGTCAAAGGTCGAAGATCTAAAGACGTTGTAAGGAAGATGTTGCGACTGTGGATCCAGCAACATACAGAACAGAAGTCACAACGGTCACTAATGTTTTTTTCGTGTAACCAAAGAACGGTTTTACAGTTGAGGCTCCATTTGGAAATGAATGACTTATTCCTTTCTCTACAATAAAATAATAAGAACGGTTATGTGAATGAACTATTTTACCCTACGTTTGTCTACAATAAAATAATAAGAACGATTATCAGGGAAAATTGAATGAACTGTTTTACCCTACGTTTGTCTACAATAAAATAATAAGAACGATTATCAGGGAAAATTGAATGAACTGTTTTACCCTACGTTTGTCTACAGTAAAATAATAAGAACGATTATCAGGGAAAATTGAATGAACTATTTTACCCTACGTTTTCTACAATAAAATAATAAGAACGATTATGTGAATGAACTATTTTACCCTACGTTAATCTACAATAAAACAATAAGAACGATTATGTGAATGAACTATTTTACCCTACGTTAATCTACAATAAAACAATAAGAACGATTATGTGAATGAACTATTTTACCCTACGTTAATCTACAATAAAACAATAAGAACGATTATGTGAATGAACTATTTTACCCTACGTTAATCTACAATAAAACAATAAGTACGATTATCAGGGAAAAGTGAATGAATTGTTTTACCCTACGTTTGTCTACAATAAAATAATAAGAACGATTATGAGGGAAAAGTGAATGAACTGTTTTACCCTACGTTAAAATATATTGAATTACAATAATGAGAAGTAAGGAGGTTTAAAATATATTGAATTACAATAATGAGAAGTAAGGAGGTTTAAAATATATTGAATTACAATAATGAGAAGTAAGGAGGTTTAAAATATATTGAATTACAATAATGAGAAGTAAGGAGGTTTCCAAGAAATCATATTCTCTTTAAGCTTCACATTTGTTATAAGAACGTGTGTGTGAAAATAAAGAAAATTATATACGAATATTAAATCTGTTCTATCCGACGAGAAAGTGCTAGAATACGTTTGTATCCTACTTTTGTGTGTAATTCGAACTAGTTCTACATGAGAAACAGATTACTTAACCTTGTTATTCTTTATGTTACACAGAAAATTATTATAGTGTTAAGTCAGAGTGAAATAATAGAAAATTATTATAGAGTTAAGTCAGAGTGAAAGAACAGAAAATTATTATAGTGTTTAATCAGAGCGAAAGAACAGAAAATTATTATAGTGTTAAGTCAGAGTGAAAGAATAGAAAATTATTATAGAGTTAAGTCAGAGTGAAAGAACAGAAAATGATTATAGTGTTTAGTCAGAGTGAAAGAACAGAAAATTATTATAGTGTTTAATCAGAGCGAAAGAACAGTAAAGTATTATAGTGTTAAGGCAGAGTGAAAGAATAGAAAATTATTATAGAGTTAAGTCAGAGTGAAAGAACAGAAAATTATTATAGTGTTTAGTCAGAGTTCAAGAATAGAAAATTATTATAGTGTTTAATCAGAGCGAAAGAACAGTAAAGTATTATAGTGTATAGTCAGAGTGAAAGAACAGTAAAGTATTATAGTGTTAAATCAGAGTTCAAGAAGAGACAACTATTATAATGTTAAGTCAGAGTTCAAGAACAGAAAATTGTTACGGTGTTAAGTCAGAGTGAAAGAACATAATATTATTACGGTGTAAATTCAGAGCTCAACAATAGAAAATTATTATAATGTTAAGTCAGAGAGAAAGAACAGTAAGTTATTACGGTGTTAATTCAGAGTTCAAGAATATAAAATTATGATAGTGTTAAGTCAGAGTGAAAGAACAGATAATTAATACGGTGTTAAATCAGAGTTCAAGAACAGACAATTATTATAGTGTTAAATCAGAGTTCAACAATAGAAAATTATAACAGTTTTAAAACAGAGTGAAAGAACAGAAAATTATAATAGTTTTAAATCAGAGTGCAAGAATAGTAAATTATAATAGTTTTAAATCAAAGTGCAAGAATAGTAAATTATAATAGTTTTAAATCAGAGTGCAAGAATAGAAAATTATAATAGTTTTATATCAGAGTGCAAGAATAGAAAATCATAATAGTTTTATATCAGAGTGCAAGAATAGTAAATTATAATAGTTTTAAAACAGAATGAAAGAACAGAAAATTATAATAGTTTTAAATCAGAGTGCAAGAATAGTAAATTATAATAGTTTTAAATCAGAGTGCAAGAATAGAAAATCATAAAAGTTTTAAATCAGAGTGCAAAAATATAAAATTGTAATAGTTTTATATCAGAGTGCAAGAACAGAAAATCATAAAAGTTTTAAATCAGAGTGCAAGAATATAAAATTATAATAGTTTTATATCAGAGTGGAAGAACAGAAAATCATAATAGTTTTATATCAGAGTGCAAGAACAGAAAATTATAATAGTTTTAAATCAGAGTGCAAGAATATAAAATTATAAAAGTTTTAAATCAGAGTGCAAGAATATAAAATTATAATAGTTTTATATCAGAGTGCAAGAATAGAAAATCATAAAAGTTTTAAATCAGAGTGCAAGAATATAAAATTATAATAGTTTTATATCAGAGTGGAAGAACAGAAAATCATAATAGTTTTATATCAGAGTGCAAGAACAGAAAATTATAATAGTTTTATATCAGAGTGCAAGAATAGAAAATCATAAAAGTTTTAAATCAGAGTGCAAGAATATAAAATTATAATAGTTTTTAAATCAGAGTGGAAGAACAGAAAATCATAATAGTTTTATATCAGAGTGCAAGAGATATTTTTCAGTGGTCTAAAATAATTTTAGTGGTTCCGTCAGTTCTTTTCTTTAAGAACAGTAGACAGAATTTGAGAGATTAAAAGAGATGTAACTTCTTCAAGATTAAAATAATTTTTAAAGTTTTATCCACGGAGGAAATGATCAAACGAAGAAATGCCAAGCTCCAGCTGTTTTATCCAAACGAGATTGCTCTGCTCGTTACGTTATTAAACTTTCAATAAGTTATTTTTGAAGATTGAAACAAAGGTTATTTTTGTTTAATTTTTTGGGTATAATTATAATGTGTTAATGCAACTCAAAAGTCCGCACGAGGTTAGCTAGATTGTTTAGTTTCCGTTTAAGAAAATGAATCTTACCCGATAACTTTATGTTGTTTTCAGTAGAAGGAAATATACTCTCGACTCCAGGTGTTGTAGGCACAATGTCACCTGAATATATTAAAAACACAAATAAATGGAAAAAAATTAAGAAAATTTTGTCAAAAATTTACAGAAAAAGATTCAGCGGCTGTCTGGTAATTGAAGAAAAACTCAATATCCAAGACTTTTCACTTCTTCGGCGAAGCGAAGCTTTTCTAGATGGTTTATACCAACGAAACGTTTTGCCACAGGATATCTTAGGAGTTAGTTTCCCAACAGACACGGAGATTTTTCACAGAGATTTACTCGTGTTCCTTAGGCAAATAATGTTCTGAAGCTTCGTTTTCTTAGCGAGGAGAAACAGGAGTGAAGTATTTAATTTATATTATTCACGAGGACTGTATCTGATAAAATAATTCTAAAATATTATTCACGAGGACTGAATCTGATAAAATAGTTCTAAAATATTATTCAAGAAATACTATACACGATCAACTACTACAGTATTTTCAAGAGGACTGTATATGATAAACTACTACAGTATTTTCAAGAGGACTATGTATGATAAACTACTACAGTATTTTCAAGAGGACTGTATATGATAAACTACTACAGTATTTTCAAGAGAACTGTATATGATAAACTACTACACCATTTCAAGAAGACTGTATATGATAAACTACCACAGTATTTTCAAGAGGACTGTATATGATAAAGTACTACAGTATATGATAAACTACTATAGTATTTTCAAGAGGACTGTATATGATAAACTACTACAGTATTTTCAAGAGGACTGTATATGATAAACTACTACAGTATTTTCTAGAGGACTGTATATGATAAACTACTACAGTATTTTCAAGAGGACTATATATATGATAAACTACTACACTAAGAAACATATCATAAACAGTGATAGAAAAGACGTCAATACTAAGAAACATATCATAAACACTGATAGAAAAAACGTCAACACTAAGAAACATATAAACAGTGATAGAAATGACGTCAACAAGAAGAAACATATCATAAACAGTGATAGAAAAGATGTCAATACAAAGAAACACATTTTAAATGCTGATAAAACCAGGGAACAGATCAAATAGTGTGCATGGATGGAAACAAACGTTTTTCCCATTTTGTGCAAATATTTTAAATTATTAGAGAAAAAAAAACCACAAAATATCATAAGAACAATAAAGCTGAAACACAATAACGTCTAATATATAAAAACAAACTCAACCGTTGTATTCTACAATAAAACTGGAACACAATAACGTCTAATATATAAAACAAACTCAACCGTTGTAATCTATAATAAAGCTGAAACACAATAACGTCTAATATGTAAAACAAACTCAACCGTTGTATTCTACAATGAAGCTGAAACACAATAACGTCTAATATATAAAACAAACTCAACCGTTGTATTCTACAATAAAGCTGAAACACAATAACGTCTAATATATAAACCAAACTCAAACGTTGTATTCTACAATAAAGGTGAAACACAATAACGTCTAATATATAAAACAAACTCAACCGTTGTATTCTACAATAAAGCTGAAACACAATACCGTCTAATATATAAAACAAACTCAACCGTTGTATTCTACAATAAAGCTGAAACACAATACCGTCTAATATATAAAACAAACTCAACCGTTGTAT